GATAATGGCCTTTTGGTTTTGTAAAAAATAGTCAATATTTAAGACATGACTGTAAATAGGTAGGTGTGAAAGACTGTATCAAGGATTTGCTTTAAATTATTTCAGCATTGAAAACAGTAGGGGCAGCTGGGTGGCTCAGTCAGGTGAGCATTTGACTCTCGATTTGGACTCAGGTCATGATCTCATGGTTCATGGGATGGAGGTCCATGTCAGGCTCTGTGCTAACAGAGTGGGGATTCTCTCTCCCCCTCTCTCTGCCCCTTTCCCACTCACGTGCTCTCTCTCAAAATAAATAAAATCAAAAGTAAAGGGGTTTAGATTAAGCGATGTGGCAAAATCTTACTAACTTGAATTTGAGAGCTGAATATGGGGTGATCCTTTATATTTTCTCTTTCTGAAAATTTTCATAATTAAGAATTAAAGGGGCGCCTGGGTGGCTTAGTCGGTTAAGCGTCCGACTTTCGCTTGGGTCATGATCTCGTGGTTCGTGGGTCGAGCCCCGCGTCGGGCTCTGTGCTGACTGCCAGCTCAGAGCCAGGAGCCTATTTCAGAGTCTGTATCTCCCTCTCTTTCTGACTCTCCCCTGCTCACGCTGTCTCTCTCTCTCTCTCTCTCCTAGAAATTAAAAAAAAAAGGAATTAAAATCTTGAATTTTGAGAACTTGTGGAAATCCTGCTACTTGTGCGAACTAGGGCAATGGTTTTAACCTCCTGGAGCCCATTTTCTTATGTTACAATGGGAATGCCATCACTTACTTCACTGAGGCTGCAATACATAAGAATGGTGACCCTGCAGCTCCCCTCTCCCCCCACCAATGGATGTTAAGCTTCCTTCATTGGACAGACATGTCCATCTCTGAGATTGGACAAGGCACGTAATGAACAAAAGACATCTCACTTCCGTGGAGTCTGCTGAACGGTCTTCCTTTGGAACAGAGGAAGGCAAATGACAGAAAAGAATCCATAATACCAGGTCTGCCTGACCCTCCTGACTACTCAGTCTGCACGTAACCTGGTAGCATGTGTAACATTTAACAGCTTTGACGACTGGTTCCTCCACACCTGAAATGTTTCCTCCACACCCCTTTCCTTGAAGGTATCTTCACCTTTCTTCTCACCTGCAAAGACTGCCCCCACCAGAGACTTTTGTCACTCTCTCCCCTCTTCTTAAGCTTCTGAATCAAATCCTCCATGATGTTCTCTTTTTCTAAGTCTCCCAAGTGGGCTACACTACCTCGGCCCTACTTACCAACGACAGGAAGTTCCAGAAGTACTGATTTGGAAAGAAATCTCAGGAAGGATTTTTATTGACACAGTTGTCTAGTTTGACTTTCAAAAGTCTTTCAAAAGTTCATGTCTGCCTGGGACCTATTGCCCAAAGGGCTCCCAAAACTCATTCTCCAGCAAGGATTCTATCCTCCAAAGTCTCATCATTTCTATAAACATTCATGGCACAGACGTTACACAATAAAACACTGTGTCTGTCCTGGAGTTGCTCAGTCCACTGAGCTTTCAGGCTAGAGAATAAACATCACAAACCACATTTAATTTGCTTTTAAGCCCATCTACTATATTCTTAATGAGTTAGAGTATTTATCAAATCCATAATTGATTTTAATAGACTGCAGTTCTCTTGTGGAATTCTCTGTATTTTTATGAACATACTAATAGAAGTTATTTTAAGATCCGTGTTTGGTAACTCCAATATCTGGATCACTATGGATCAGGTTTGATCATCTTTTTCATTGCTTTGGGTCATTTAATGTTTATTTTTCTTGAAAAGACAATTGATTTAGGTTTTAATGCCAGACATTATATGTGGAGGCTTGGGGCACCTGAGTGGCTGTCCGCTAAGCATCTGATTTTGGCTTGGGCCATGATCTCACAGGTGAGTCCTGTGTCATGCTCTGTGCTGACAGCTCAGAGCCTGGAGGCCGATTCTGTGTCTCCATCTCTCTGTCCCTCACACACTCATCTCTCTCTCTCTCTCAAAAATAAACATTAAAAAAAAATTTTTTTTTAATATGTGGAGGCTCTAGCTGGTATTTTTATCCACAGAGGATTTCTTTTCTTCTGGTAAACAAGACAAGCTCCAGGAGGCTGTTTTCATCCCATCAAGATTGTATACCCTTTACTCATGAGGGTCGGGGAAATGAGAAGTCTTGTGTACTTTTGAAAGATCACTGCCCAGTATACACTAAATCTAAAAGTGATTATTCTTGGATACAGCTCTGGTTCTAAAAATTTCTCCCAAGGAAATGACACTACAAGAGAATGAAGATGAAGGCCACTGTTCTAAATTTTACATTGAACTGTTTCAGAGATACAAACTGAACGCACATCAGGAGGTAATTGTTTAAAATGTGATATGTCTGTATTACTGGGATACTGCGCAAGTAAAATATTATAGATCAATATTGATAGAAAAGATTTCCAACATATTAATAAGTGAATAAAATCAAGTTACAACATAGTATGCACATTACCCTTGTTTTGTAAAGCTGAAAAGATCTGTATCCATATATAATGTAGACATCAGTGCCTTTTTAAAATTATTTTGCATATTTTAAAATTTCAGGGATTATTTTTTAGAAAAAAATCTAATTTTACTCAGGGGAAAGGAAAAGATTCTCCAGAACACTGATGCGTGATAAAAATGGCATATCGTACCTCACAGTAACCCTATAAATATTGGCATTTAGATATGGCATATTTAGGAAAATGCCAACCCTCTAGGTTATTAACATGGACAACAAGAGGTTCAGAAAACTGCTCTAGAGGTATATAGAAAGGGGAGAGTGCTAGAAGAGTTAACAGAGTGTTGACTCTAAATAAATTTCCTGTGAGTGGGTTGGAAAGAACAAATGTGAGAATCAACTCAACCAAAAGGGCAGAGGTGAGGAAGTCACAAAAAAATTAATCCAGAGCCATTTTCAATGGAGCCTATCTCCTGTCCTATCCATATTCTTTTTAATTATGCACATCGAGGCACAGGGTGGCTCAGTCAGTTAAGCATCTAACTTCTGCTCAGGTCATGATCTCACGGTTCGTGAGTTCGGGCCCACATCCGGCTCTGTGCTGACAGCTCAGACTCTGGAGCCTCTTTCTGATTCTGTGTCTCCCTCTCTCTATGCCCCTCCCCCATTCGTGTTCTGTCTTTCTCTCCAAAATGAATGTTAATTTTTTTAAATAAGAGAGATGGGGGTAGAATATGCTCTAAGACTTTTCAGCATTCCAAGGAATATGGGTTACAGAGAAGCATCCATTTGTCAAAACTCACCAAATTGCATACTTACCATGTGCAAATTTAAATTGTACCTCAGTAAAAAGAACTGTAAAACAAATGAGTCATTTTACAGCCTGAAAAGTCATGGGACTACATATTTGTAACCTGTACAGTTTTCTGTATCTAAGATATATTTCAATAAAGAGTAATCCCAAAATTAAAAAAATAAAAGTACAGATTTGTACATTGAGGCAAAGCAGCTGGGAAGCTACCTATTAAGGAAAAAAAAAAAAAAAGACAAGGGCGCCTGGGTGGCTCAGTCGGTCAGGTGTCCAGTCAGTTGTCAGACTTCGGCTCAGGTCATGATCTCATGGTTCGTGGGTTCGAGGCACACATTGGGCTTTGTGCTGAGAGCTCCGAGCCCAGAGCCTGCTTCGGATTCTGTGTTTCCCTCTCTTTCTGCCCCTCCCCCACTCATGCTCTGTTTCTGTCTCAATAATAAACATAAAAACATTTTTTAATTAAAAAATAATAATAAAAAGAAAGAAAAAAAAGACAATGGTAACAACTGGGAGCCACTTCCCAGGGTCAGGTTTGTACATGACAACAAGGGAAGTAGGCCAAACGGAACCAGCATCCAACATGCCTGACTGCATTAAACCTTTGCACAGGATACAAGACAAGCAACAATAGAAAACACTGGGCAGCTCTTCCCTCTGTACTCACATCAGATTAGCACATAGATTTTCCTGGGGTTTTTTTGTTTGTTTGTTTGATTTGGTTTGGTTTTTGGTGTTTATAGCCAGTGGAAATTGACTAGGCTGGATTTACCTGGGGAGAAATAGAAACTAAAGATAAAATGAAAGAAGGAGGAAGAAAAGAAAAGGAGAGGTGAGGCCAGAGCAGGGGGGAGGTAAGAGCACAGAGGGAGGAGGTGGAGCTCACCAAGAGCAAAGCAGAGACTGCAAGTTAGGACAAGCCGGAGAGGTGCAAATGGGACCACCTGCCCATTCATCCATTACTCCGTTCCTATTCATCCATTAATCCCTTCACTGCCTCATTCACTAAACAAATACTGAATGAACATATGTGTGCTGAGTCTACTGCAGGCACTGGGTGGACAGCAATGAAGAAATCATACAGTCCCCGCTCTCATGAAGCTCCACTCTGATAGGGAAAGACAATAAACCAGCAAACAAAATATAGGATGTGAATACATCAGCTGGTGACTGATGATTTGCCACAGAATAAGGCAGTTGGGCATTTTAAACAGGGTGGTGAGAGCAGGCTTCATGGGAGCAGCTACAGATGAAGTAAGGCGGGGAGCGCGGAGGATGTCGGGGGTGACGACATCCCAGGTGGATGGAAGAGCTGGGGAAAGGCCCTGGGGTAGAAGGATCCTTGGCATGTCTGCACAATGGAAAGCAGTCCTGTGTGGCTGGGAGGGATGGAGCAAAGGGGAAGGGAGAGGAAATCAATCCAGAGAGGGGGTGGGCGGCCAGATCACAGGGGACCCTAAAGGCCGCCATGAAGACTCTAGATTGTACCAAGACAGGAGGCATGGGAGGCTCAACAAAGGATGGACATAGGCTGGTGTACGTGACCTCACATCCTTGGAGAACAGACTGCCCAGAGGAGGAGCAGGCAGACAGTGGGAACACTGTGACCATAGAGCAGGATGATGAATCACGGGGGCCTGGGCAGGCTGGTCATCAGGGAGGTGGTGAGAAGAAGCACCTGGCTGTGCCCTGCGAGGACACAGAGCCACACGCTTCTCATTCAAACACCCATCCCCTTGGGTTTCTGTCTCCATCATCCAAAGTTTCTCTTCTCTCCCCAGTGGTAATGTCTAATGTCGTATCTCTTTCAAAGGGTTCACATCCTATGAAAAAGAAATGGCACATGTGTGACGTGAATAAATTAAAGGCAAAAATTTTAATTCCAATAATATAATCTTCAGGCACTCTATTTTTTCAAATTCTGATCGTGACCTGCTGTAATAAATACCGTTTACGTTATGATCCAGTACACAAATACATAGATGTGTTTCGCCTAATCAAGCAATCAAATGACCGCACATCCTAACCACCACCCACTTCGATCACATTTCCTTTCCTGCTTTTACTCACAATTTTTGTTGCACTGCATTTAGTTCCCGACAAGGAGCTACACTATTTCTATCCTATCTCATTAAACACAGTGATGATGTAATTCACCAATTCATTTTAAACCTCACAAGATATCACAACGGTAATTTGACAAAAAACACCCAAGGTATAGACAAGATATCCCACAGGAATTAGGAAATTCAGATCCCCAAGTTTTAGGGAAGGACTAGAAGAGCCCCAAAGTCTTAAACACTGGGAATCAAGACACTCCAGGGGGCTGACATTGAGGTACAGAGGGTATTTATCCTCACCCAGGGACAGCAGGTTCTGGAAGTTCTCTGGCATCACATCTCCGTATAGCTTCCTCTGGGCAGGGTCCAGCAGCCCCAGCTCCTCTCTGGTGAAGACCAAGTCCACATCCTTGAACGTCACTACCTCCTACAACATCAAGCACGCACAATCTCAATCTTATAACCCATGGCCACTGGGAAAAAGGCAGAACAGAGAAGGTGGAGAGGATACGTGAGAAATTGTTCTGGATTCTGAGGACCTTGCAATCCGCATGTCAACTCCATATACCAAGTTGCCACAGTCAAATCAAAAATACAATTAAAAAAGTAAAAATCAGGGGCACCTGGGTGGCTCAGTTGGCTAAAGGTCAGATTTTGGCTCAGGTCATGATATCATGGTCCATGAGTTCAAGCCCCACGTTGGGCTCTGTGCTGATAGCTCAGAGTCTGGAGCCTGCTTCGGATTCTGTATCTCCCTTTCTCTCTGCCCCCTCCCTGCTCTCTCTCTCTCTCTCCTTCAAAAATAAATATTTAAAAAATAAAAATTATTAAAAATCAATTTTAAAATAAAAATAATTAAAATTTAAAAATTAGTTAATTTTAAAATTTAATTGCAATTTTAAAATAATCAATTACAAATAATCCCTGTATATTTAATGTGGTTTCATTTGTGAGTATCCTACAGTAAGTGCCCTAGAACTATAACTCTTGAATCATGGGGTATACACGTTTTATAACCTGGTTGATACTACCAAATTGTCCCAGAAATGTTAGGTCACTTTAGTCCCAACAAGACCAAATAGTTTTTATCTTTCCTTTCTGATTCACACAATCACTAAGTCAGGGTACTGTCACTCTGTTACAGTTTGACAAACCAACAGGTCACCTTTCCTGGTGAGCTATGCAAGGCATGTGCCATCTATCAGCGATGGCATTCAAAGTGTGAAACTTTTCAGTTTTTCATATCAGAATACCTGTTTACGTCCCAAAGCTCTGGCCCTCACAAGCTGTAAGATCTTCAACAGACAAATCCTTACTCTATTCCCTTATGTAAATAAATGAATATACATAAAAGTTCTTAAACTGTACTGTCCAATTCAGGAGCCATGTGAGTCATACGGGACTACGTAAATTTAAATGTAAAATTACATAAAATTAAAAACTCACTCCCTCAGTCGCACTAGCCACATTTCAAGTGCTCAAGAGCCACATGTGGCTAGTGACTACCATATTGGACAGCACAGTATAGAACATCTCCTTTAGGGCGCCTGGGTGGTTCAGTCGGTTAAGCGTCCGACTTCGGCTCAGGTCATGATCTCACGGTTCGTGGGTTTGAGCCCCACGTCGGGCTCTGTGCTGACAACCAGCTCAGAGCCTGGAGCCTGTTTCAGATTCTGTATCTCCCTCTCTCTCTGACCCTCCCTGGCGCTCTCTCTCTCTCTCTCTCTCTCATAAATAAATAAAACATTTAAATCAGCTTTTCAAAAAAGAACATCTCCATCATCGCAGAACCTCCACTGGACAGCACTTAGAACACACACACTTACCACATGGTAGGTGCTTAATTGATGCTAACTTTCAGTAATTATAATTGGTAGTAAACATATGAGTACACATTCACATTGATTTAGACACCCGGCTTTCTTTTGATTAATGTTTGCGTGGTATATCTTTTTCCACCCTTTTGCTTTCAACCTGCTTATACCATTATATTTGAAATGAAATTTTTAAAATTTGAATATCTAATTGGCTTTATATATAGTAGGATCATTTTATAAATTTTTATTTATTTCCAGTATAACTAACACACATTGTTATATTAGTTTGGCATGCAGTACAGTAATGCAACAATTCTATACATTACTCTGTGCTCATCATGATAAATAAGCGTACTCTTTTTTTTTTTTTTAAGGAGAATCACCAAGGATTCCCTTTTTTTTTTTTTTAATTTGTATTTATTTCTAGGAGAGAGAGAGACAGAGACAGCGTGAGCAGGGGAAGGTCAGAGAGAGAGGGAGACACAGACTCCGAAATAGGCTCCAGGCTCTGAGCCAGCAGCCAGCACAGAGCCCGACTCGGGGCTCGAACCCACGAACTGCGAGATCATGACCTAAGCGAAAGTCGGACGCTTAACCGACTAAGCCACCCAGGCGCCCCTAAATAAGCGTACTCTTAATCCCCTTTACCTATTTCACCCATTCTCCACCCATCTCCCCTCTGGCAACCACGTCTTTGTTCTCTGTATTTAAGAGTCTGATTTTTTGCCTTTTTTCTTTGTTCATTTGTTGTGTTTCATAAATTCAACATATGAGTGAAACCATATGTTGTCATTCTCTGACTTATTTCACTTAACATTATACCCTCAAGATTCACCCATGTTGTTGCATATGGCGAGACTTTATTCTTTTATATGGCCAAGTACTATTCCACTGTGTGTGTGTATCACATCCACTTTTTAAAAAAATTTTTTTAAATGTTTTATTTATTTCTGAGAGAGAGGGAGAGAGAGAGACACACAGCATGAACAGGGGATGATCAGAGAGAGAGGGAGACACAGAATCCGCAACAGGCTCCAGGTTCTGAGCCAGCTGTCAGCACAGAGCCTGACACGGGGCTGGAACCCACAAACCTGAGCCAAACCCACAAACCTGATTATGACCTGGGCCAAAGTCGGACACTTAACCGACTGAGCCATCAGGCGCCCCTCACATCCTCTTAATCCATTTGTCTATCAATAGACATTTGGGCTGCTTCCATAATTTAGCTATTATAAATAATGCTGCAATAAAATAGGGCACATGCAACTTTTTGAATTAGTATTTTCATATTCTTTAGAAAAATACCCAGTAGGAGAATTGCTGGATCATACAGTAATTCTATTTTTAAACTTTTGAGGAACCTTAACACCGCTTTCCATAGAGGCTGCACTTGTCTGCATTCTCATCAACAGTGCCTGAGGGTTCCTTTTTCTCCACATCCTCACCAACTTGTTTCTTGTGTTTTTTATATTAGCCATTCTGATAGATGTGAGGTGGTATCTCTCTGTAGGTTTGTTTGGTTGTTTAAGCAGGCTTCATGCACAGCATGGAGCCCAGCACGGGGCTTGAACTCACAACTCTTAGATCAAGACCTGAGCTGAGATCGGGGCACCTGGGTGGCTCAGACGTTTAAGCATCTGACTCTTGGTTTTGGCTCAGGTCATGATCTCACAGTTTGTGAGTTCAAGCCTCACATGGGGTTCTTTGCTGATAGTGCAAAGCCTGCTTGGGATTCTCCCTCTCCCTCTCGCTGCCCCTCCTCCATTTGCTCTCTGTCTCTCTCAAAAAAAAAAAAAAAAAAAACTTAAAAAAAAATACCTTACCTGAGATCAAGAATCAGGCACTTAAGTGACTGAGCCACCCAGGCACCACTCATTGATTTTGATTTGCATTTCCCTGATGATGAGTGGATGTTGAGCATCTTTTCCTGTGTCTGTTGGCCATCTGTATGACTTTGGAGAAATGTCTGTTCATGTCTTCTGCCCATTTTTAAATTGGATTTTTTTGGGGGAGGGGTGTCGAGTTGTATAAGCTCTTTATATATTCTGGATACTAACCCTTTATCAGACATGTCATTTGCAAAAACGTTCCCCCATTTGGTAGGTTGTCTGTTTGTTTTGTTGATGGTTTCTTTTGCTATGCAGCATATTTTGATGCAGTCCCAGGAGTTCATGTTTGTTTCCTTCACTTCAGGAGACATATAAAGAAAAATGTTGCTACAGCTGATGTCAGAGAAATTACTGCCTGTGCACTCTTCTAGGATTGTGATGGTTTATGGATCTTCAATCCACTTTATTTTTGTGTAAGGTGTAAGAAAATGGCCCATTCTTCCCAGCAGCATCTGTTGAAAGGCTCTCTTTTTTTTCCCTTCCCATATTCTTGCTTTCTTTGTGGTAAATTAATTAACCATATCCTGTAGTTGGGAAATATATTTAAATCCACAATAGCAATCTCTTTAATTTGTGCATTTATATGCCATTTATATTTAACAAACTATTTATACGTTATGGCCTAAGTCTGCTTTTTTCCCCCCTTGCTTTCCCGTGTTACTTAAACACTTTTATTATCACGCTTTGGTTTATCTATAGTGTCTTTGAGAGTATCACTTTGTATAGTTTTTAGTGGTTGCTTTAGGTATTACATTATACAGAAATAACTTATCAGTCTATTATTGTCAATATGCTACCAGTTCAAATGAAATGTAGCAAACTTACCTCCCTTTAAGACCTTTCACCCTACTCCATTTATTGCTATTTTAAATATTTTGTTCTGTATACATTTAGAACTACATCAAACAGTTATGAGTTTGACCAACATAATAGAAAACTCAAGGAGAGCAAGATAGTCTATTATATTTATCCCTATTTTCAACCATTCTGTTGTTCTTTCTTCCTTCCTGAAACCCTAAACCTTTTTCTATTTGTTTTTTCCTTTCTGCTTAGAGAACTTCCTTTAGCTATTCTTTCAGAGCAGGTCTGCTGGCAACAAATACATTTCATTTCCTTCATTTGAGAATGTCTTGATTTTCCCTTCATTCTCAAAGGATATCCTTACTGGATACAAAATTCTGAGTTCATAGTTCTTCTCATTCACCACTTAAAAAAGAGCATGCCATTTCCTTCTCGCCACCATGGTTTCTGGCAAGAAATCCATGATCTTTGAATGTTTTGTCCCTTATAGGTAAGGTGCCATTTCTCTCTCCTTTATTTTTTTTCTGTTATTAGTTTTAGAAGTTTAACTATAACATGTCTTGGTATTTCTTTGGGTTTACCCTACTTGGGGTTCACTCAGTTTCTTGCATCTGTAGGTTTATGTCTTCTGCCAAATTTGGGAAATGTTCAGCCATATTTCTTCAAATACTTTAGTCCCTCCCTCTTCCTCCTCTCCTTGTGGGACCCTGATAACATGAATGCTATATATTTTGTTATAGTCCCTTGGGTCTCTGAGACTCTGTTCATTTTTTTCAGTCTATCTTATTTTATTCACATTAAATAATTTCTATTATTCTCTCTTCAAGTTCTTTCCTCTGTTCCTTAATTCTGCTACTGAGCCCATCCAGTGAATTTTTAAATATCTTTTACTATATTTTTCAGTTCTCAAATTTCCATTT